CGGCTTCCTGTCACGAAGACTTGGTATGRTAATAAATATATCAAATCAACTAATAGTTGAAATCAAAAATTTGGTGAAKGCATAAATTATGAAAACAYCCGCTGACCTTCACAATTGTTGTTACGAAGTCTATATCCTCTGCCACATGCCTCYCATTTGTAAGAACCAATTGTATTCACACATTTGGACGAGCTACCGCAGAGGGAAGCACCGCCGGCACACTCATCGATATCTGAAAGAGCCAGTCATGGTGATCATGATGAATAATCGTGGTAGTCAAAACCAGAATGGGGTATGCATTGAATGTATTACAGACCTTTATCGCGCTAAAATTACATTTTGAAAAGCTTGATAAATATGAAAACGAAATTGGTCATATCAATAATGATAAATAATTATGCAAAATGTTTAATTTTTCAATTTTTTTTTAATTGACGAATACATGAATTTTTGAGCTTTTTTCGTGTTTATTATAAAAACGAGGCTCCCCGGGCATGGATTGCCGTCTACATTACATTTCTTTTCAAAAATGTATAGTTTTGGAAATTAATATTCTTGTAAATTTCAACGCGCGTTCCATATCGTAAACTATTTTACCATCATCATTTCACCATTTCATTACTTGCCTTTACAAGTGTCTTTGTCTAAGGCAAATCCAGTTGAACATCGTTGTGGAGTAGGTTGAACTGATGCGTCCACACAGCGATACGATCCCTGTGTATTAAGACATTTTTTGTTTTCACTGCGGCAAAGAGTGCGATCCCTGAGACACTCGTCTACATCTGTCAAGAAAACATGCAGTTGATAAAAGAAACAGRTGTGTAACAAGACTTACTGACGTTTTGGACGATAACCCTTGGTCGGTGGATTAACGTCCGAAACGTCAGTAAATTGTTTCACCTATTTTTTATGGTGTTAATTTTTTTACACAATTGTTTCTTTAGAAACACCGACGCATCTCAGACTAGTTTACCGCTCGTTTTTACCASTTAATAAAAGAGARTGAACACAAAGAATCGTCCTGATGTAATAAASAAGATTTCGTATGACTGTTCAAGGGCACGGATCACGGTCTGCATGGACATTGTTGAAACGCCAATAGTCTACTTCACGGTAAGGTGCGCCAAAGGTAGCCGTGTCCTMTACATCGAAGCGAGACGACCATTGAGCGTGCAATGATAGATAACTGTGAATCATTGTCTGTAGGTGTGAAAAAAGGTTTCTATCGTTGCATGCTCAACGGTCGTCTCGCTTCGATGCAAGGCACGGCTACCTTACAAGAGTTCAAAACGTCTTGTTCAAGCTTTTGTATGCAATGACTTTGAAGTGCGAAAGTGATGCTTTTTTGTAACAGCCAGCGTGCATTAAATAAACTCAGAAACCCATCGAGGCTCTGGAATGGACACCTGAAGGAAGAAGAGCGAAGTGAAGACCAAAGACTACTTGGAGAAGAACGGTACTGAAAGAAAGGGACAATGCAGGATAATAGACTTGGAATGAAGCCAAAATGGCAGCAAGAGATAGAGATGGCTGGAAAGGGGGGGGGGGGGGGGGGCATATGCGCCTAGTAGCTCCGAGAGATATGATGATAATGATGATGATGAAACCCATCAAGGAGTAACCATCACGATTTCATATATGAAATGCTTACGTATCGTACGAAATCCCGTCTGCTAAAAGCGAAGAATAGAGAATTGTGTAAATCAAGTTCTTGTATATAATCACAGGTCACTGTGAATCTATGACTGTTAAATTTTTTTTTTAATTTGTTAAAATATTTTTATTTTATTTAGCTTCATTATGCTTTATAAATGGGTTTAAAAAAATCTCCTCGATATATGGTCATTGCTTGGGCTCCCTGCGGTATAAATATACGCTGAAGCTTGTGATCTAGTACAATAGCAACACTCACCTACACAGGTCTTTCCGTCATCCCCAATTAAATAACCGTTGTAGCAAAAGCATACTGGAATCTTGCGAAAGTCCTCACGGCAGATATGCTGACATTTAAAATTYGCACACCCACTTGATAGTTTTGGCGTTGGCTTTCCAGTTGTTGTTGCCACAGTTTGCGTTCGGGGAGGAGGGGGATAGGTGTAGTGTACTCCTGGTTGAATCGTGATATTCTGACCTGTCAATCAAGAGAAGTGCCATAATTGCTTTAACATTTCAAAATTTGGTGAAGGTGCAGGAAAAGGTGCGTGAGCTCAGTCATTAAAACAAGTCCTTTTACTGTATTTTGTAAATTATCGATTGGTCTAAAAGAGACCCGACTACACAAAAAATAGTTATTAAGGGGATTCAAAAGTATTTAGGAATTCAAACAAAATTTAATCAAATATTTTACATTAATACATTGCTCGTAAAGAAGGACAGTTCAGTGCACTGACAATCTTTTGGCAAACTGAAATACTGCTACATTCATYATATTCGGCATTTCCTATCCTTCCTTTTGGWTTTAGATTTCACGATTTAGTCAGCATTTGGAATGCGACTACGTTTGTTCGTTTTATTGTATACAGTTCTATTTAGCTCTCACCCTTCATTATTARCAATCTCCCAAAAGTCGATTCTCTTCTACATAAATACTGTAAACGTGACGTCTATTKAACGCTCAACTTTTCCAATGGAAAGGCAGGTAACATAACTAAAGAAAGGATGTATCTTACCATTACAGCAAGAGTTGAAAACAGCTTTGCACAGTGGGTCTTTGTTGATAGCYACGTCCTTACAAGCTAGTTGGCTTTCTTGTGACGTCTTGATTCCCAACGCACAACAATCACAACATCTCAGGAAACGGTCGCTGCCACTGTGTCCATGACGACGGGAACATGTGTTGCCCTGGCTACAAACATCGCATTCAAAAGCTATTCATTCTCAACCTTTTTTTCCAAGAATGTACTTATATCTCCTAACTTCAACACTTACAATGCTTCATATTGTCCCTGGTCACATGACACCTTTTGAAGCCTTCTCATACAGCATGTTCGCTCAGCCATTCTGCATATCATCCTATCCATATTTGAAGGAAAACGTCTTCGACCAAGGTCATCCTTCTCGCACACCGCAAAGTTTCCATTGTATGCTTTGGCCTTGGTTTCTCCTTTGGTACAGCATCGGTAGAACCATTGGCTCACACCGGCTGTGAAAAAAACAAAACAAAAACAAAAACAAAACAATAAACAAAAACAATCAGTAAATGTTTGTCAAGCGAGGTGAAAATTCTATTTCGGCTTTACATTGTCTAATGCAACGTATCAACTCGTAATTTACGAGAACGAGTGATCTAAATTCTTTGGTTTACAACAACACTCAATTAGCCTGATTTTTAGATGGYCCWAGGGAAGTGCTACCAGACTTTCAAATAAAWYCGAGAAGCAACTTTTCTAGGTATGAAAGTAACCATGAGCTGCAACAGTTGTCTTTCAGGGCCGTGTCCAAGAGGGTAGAACAGGCATAGGAACCTACCCATGGAAGCAAAACGGTTATGATTCCTCTTAAGTAGAATAAACATGTCTAGATGCACTAGAATGGCGATTAAACAACTCATCAAGAGTTTAAGACAAATG